TTTTATAATGACGATTGAACAACGTGTAAAATAATCTGATGAATGAAACGTATCAAATATACATTTGGACTTCAACGTGGGGGGGGGGGGGGGCTTTCATTCTCGTAAACCTCGTAATTTTCTTACTTTAAGGTAAAGTAAAAAGAACTTTATTATTATTTCAACTTAAGTGACTTTACAGTCATCGTCGCTTTTTCCATTTAGTTCACGGTCGGAGCAGAGGCGTAGTGAGGGGGCAGATGTCCCCGGGCGCCAGCTAGTTAGGGGCGCCAAAATGTGCTTTGATATTATATTATTGGAAAAAATAATGGGTTTGAGAGTTGAAAAAAAAAGAAAAGGGGGCGCTTTAAAATTGATCTTGTCCCCGGGCGCGAATCTTGTCCCCGGGCGCCAAACACCCTCGCTACGCCTCTGGGTCGGAGACCTCCTGCCACCGTCCATCATGTTTGTATGAGTCACATATGACTCTGTCGGCTACCTGTGTCCTGTACTATATTAAGGTGCCAACGTTCTGTCCAGCTCCAGTGAAGTTCCTATGTCCTGCCCTTTATCAAGGTTCCAACTCCCTTTCCTGCATCAGTGAACCACCTACGCACTGTGCAGTATTGAGCTGCCTATGAGCTGTCCAATGTCGGTTCCTTACGTCCTGCCCAAAGTCCGGTGAGCCGTCGGCGTCCTGTGCTCCTGTCCTGCCGCCTGCTCCCCGCCACTGTAACCCGAGATTTGACAAACGTCCAGGAACAATTATTGAAGTTCGCGCGTTACTATTGACACTCAATTAAATTCAAGAAACCATCGTGTGAGAACTATTGACACTTATTTAAGCTCCAGGACCCCTGTGCCTTTTGTGTGAATTTATAATAATTATGGTACTTCCAGTAGGACAGTGTCACAACTCAGTCAAGTTATTCAGTTTTTATTTGTGTATATATATTTTTTATGCATATTTAATATTTTACTACAGAAATATCTAAGAGTGAAGTTTGAAGAACAAGAAGAGTGAGAAAATTTAGATTTGGAAAAACAGAGAGAGAGAGAGAGAGAGAGAGAGAGAGAGAGAGAGAGAGAGAGAGAGAGAGAGAGAGAGAGAGAGAGAGAACGTATATATACAGAAAAAAAAAGGAGAAATAGAGAAGAGAGAGAGATAAAAAGAAGAGAGAGAAAATAGAGATAGAGAAAAAAAGAGAGAGAGAGAGAGAGAGAGAGAGAGAGAGAGAGAGAGAGAGAGAGAGAGAGAGAGAAACAGAGAAAGGAAGAACGTATATATACAGAATAAACAAGGATAAATTGAGAAGAGAGACTGATAATGAAATTAAACTTGCTGAAATGAACAAGAAACAGATTATGACAGGTGAATAATAACGATACAATACAAGATCCCCAGAAAAATATATCATTTACCCTAATATGATCGTCAACATCAGTGGCGCTACAGCTCATGTAGGGCACTGGCCTGCTCCACAACATCCTTCCATTCGGAGCGATCCATGGCTTTCCGACCCCATGCGCGAATGCCCAGCTGGTGTAAGTCCTTCGATACATCTTCGATCCATCTCAGTTTTGGTCGACCAGTGGGTCGTCTGTCCCGTGGCTTCTGCCTGTATATCACTTTGCTGCTCTACAATCGGCATCCTTTCAAAATGTCCTGTCCAGCGAAGTGTGCCTCTTTAATTGTTGCGACAATGAGTGGGTCTTCGCACAATTGATATAGCTCTTGGTTTGTACGGATTCTCTAAAAATCATTGTATTTCACTGGGTCATATATTTTTCTGAGGATTTTCCTCTCCCATGTATTGAGAAGGTTCTTTGTTTTTCTGGTAAGGACCAAGTCTCATTGGCGTAAGTTACTACTAGTCTTATGATAGTGGTGTATATTGTCTCCTTTGCTCTCATTGAGAGGTTTTTGCTTCCCAGTAACTTTTGTAGGCTGAAATAGGAACGGTAGTTGGAGCAGCAGTGATGGCGTCGTTACTAATGGTGTGTTAGTAATGGAGTTCTTTATTTAATAAAGAGACGTTGGATACATTAATCATTGGTTTGTAAAATAGTTCATAAAATGAATTATATTACATATAATTCTCTATGTTTAAAAGAAAGTATTGTTCAATAGTTCTATAGAGCGAAAATATAATTCCCGATAACTACTCTAAATGATATATATTTTTTTTTAATAACGCAACTGCGTTTGGTGCGTAATATTTTCTGTTCTTTTCGGAAAATGAAATCGTCTCAATTTGATTATGATGTAATAAATATTTGGTTTAAAAGTGGTTGAGACATCACAATATTTATATAGTTCATGGGCGTGAAATAAAAAGTGTGCAGAGACGTATCATGGGGGAAGGGATGTAGCGAAAATTTGGAGTCTTAAGTGTGCGTTACTTGAGTTCGTGTTTTATCAAGTAACTTTAGTAGATGGGAAGTTCACGCATTGCCTTCGCCACTGTTTGGCCGGCTGTAACTAGTTAACAAATAAATCTCTTAAAAAACAAGCATGGCACAGTAAAACACAATTTTCAGTCGGCAACAATTATTAGTGAGCTCTCATAGTCGATGTGGCGAAAGGTCGTCTAGGGGTAGGTCCCTTCCGTACAACCACCGAAAAAAATTTCAGAGTCTAAACTCGGTATCCTTCTCGGGCCCCTACAAGTAGGCTGATGCATTGTAAACCAAACATATTAAAGAAATAACTAGAAGGTTTGAAAGAAAGGTATACGGTACTTTAAGACAGACCTTGCCCAGTAACTCTACAATCGCTTAAAAGCGCCAAGAGAAATGCCCAGCAGGCAGCTCCCCACTACGCTAACACATACTGGCTCAATCTAAGCTCCAGCATACAATCAGCTGCTGATAGAGGTGATGCAAAGTCAATGTACGAGAATATAAAGCAAGCAACAGGCCCTCTGATCTCCAAGACTGCGCCCTTAATGTCCAAATCAGGGGAAATTATTACTGATCGAGATAAACAACTTAAGCGGTGGATAGAGCACTACTTGGAAATATACGCAACGATAAACCAAGTCTCAACCACTGCCCTGGACGATATCCCAGACTTGCCGGTC